ATAACATTCTCTTTTCAGGAACATATGTGAGAAGTGGTAAGAAATATATATGGGATGGGCCAGGCACGGTGGCTCATGCCTGTAATCCCAGCACTTTGGGAGACTGAGATGGTTAGATCACCTGAGGTCAGGAGTTCGAAACCAGCCTGGCCAACACGGTGAAACCCTGTCTCTACTAAAAATACAAAAATTAGCCAGGCACGGCGGTGGGTGCCTGTAATCCCAGCTACTGGGGAGGCTGAGGCAGGAGAATCACTTGAACCTGGGAGGCAGAGGTTGCAGTGAGCCGAGATCGCACCACTGTATTCCAGCCTATGCAACAGTGCGAGACTCTGTCACACACACACACACACACACACACACACACACACACACACACACACACACACAATATACATATGGGAGGGGAAAAAAACAAATCAATTTCGTACTTGACAATGATTACAAAGTCCCTTATTATCCTTAATATCCAGGAAAATACTCACTGGCAGTTTATTTCCATTAAGAAAGACTTTGACATCTTTGGTGGATCCAGCAATATCATATGCTCTTCTGACCATTAGTGCAACAATATCTTTGTCTAGGCTTTGCATTTTAAACTTAGACAAATCGGGCTGAAAGGTGATACATGTATAATCTTCTCCATTAAAGGGCTTGAGTTCCATCTCACCAGCTCTCCCCATATTATCCATCCATGTCTATGGAAGTAAAGAACAGGAAAGATGAAAAATTCAAGTAATCTCACAAACAAACTACTAGTAAATAACATAAATTTATGAGTCCCAATAAATAATATATGCCTATGAATAATTTTCCATGCTTATAAATTATGTTAAATTAAACCAACCATTAATGTTATTATAAATGGCTATAGTACTACCATTTATCATTAAGGTAAAAGACACCTATTTACTTGCCTGTTTGAACATTTTCTTGTATTCTCTACAGGCTGTTTCCACAGTAAATTTGGTACTGAATATGTTACACAATTTGGCTCCGTAGCCATTTCGACCACCTAGGCAAATAAATATGAAACACTATTTTATTGTTATTAGCTCATTGACAGCTTTATTTCCTAATCACTGGCAGAGGTATTCAATTATAGAGATTTACTTCCATATTTTTAATCCTCATGCCACAGATGTTTCAAAAAAATATATTTTTAGCAACAAATATATTATTTCCCCTCAATACTCTACCTGTCACTTTCTTTTCATCATCATCATAGTTACTAGAAGTTAGGAGCTGTCCAAATATGAGAGCTGGGACATACATCTTTTCAACTTTGTGTTCAACAACAGGAATACCTTTTCCATTATTCCATATACTAATTAAATTGTTTTCCCTAAAAAAACAAGATTGAAAATTATATTGTACAACACATTAAATGAATTCTTAACATTTAAAAATATTTTAATATGATTATTTCTAAAATATAAATATTCAGGCTGGGCACAGTGGCTTACGCCTGCAATCACCTTGGGAGGCTGAGGAAGGCGGATCACTTGAGGCCATAAGTCTGGCCAACATGGTACAACCCTGTCTCTACTAAAAACACAAAAATTAGCCAGTCATGGTAGTGTGCGCCTAATTCCAGCTACTTGGGAGGCTAAGGCAGGAGAATTGCTCAAAGTGTTGGGATTATAGATGTGAGCCACCACGCCCAGCCCTCAATTTCTTTGACTCTTTTCATATATACCTTCTGAAATTCAGCATGAACTACATTTCCCACCATGTTTAGTTCCTGACATTCCTGAAATAGGAGTCAAGAGGAAAAAAAAATCTTTTCCGATACCTGTGTAGACACTGATAATGTTGAAAAAATATAAAATTTTAAAATGTTAGGATGAACAAAGGGAAATGATTTATGCCCAATGGAAAGAAAAGGACAATCTGGAAACATTATTATACACCACTCCCACTCTGTTTTTGAGACAGCATCTTGCTCTGTCACTTGCTGGAGTGCAATGACAGGATCACAGCGCACTGGAGCCTTGACCTCCTGGGCTCAAGCAATCCTCTCACTTTAGCCTCCCAAGTAGCTGCATGCACCACCACACCTGGCTAATTTTTAAATTTTTTGTAGAGATAAGGGTCTCACTATGTTGCCCAGGCTGTTCTCAAACTACTCCTGGGCTCAACTGATCCTCTCACCTTGGCATCCCAAGGTGCTGGGATTACAGGAGTGAGCTACCATGCCTATTATACCCATTTTAAGAGGATCATCTATACATCTCTTGTTCCCACTTAACAAAGTACATTGCAAAACAAATATAAAATAGAAAAACAGTATCAATCATAAACTGCCTTGCTCTGAAATAAAATGCTAAAAACTTGGACTTATTTATTTCAGTTATTTTAATTCTTGGATGGTAATATGTTTTAGTTATAACTAGATATACATTATGGTTCTTATTCCAGAAAGTACTTATTATCTATAAAAAAAACTAATTAAAACTAGCTCAATGTTTTTTAAAGACTATGACATTGAGTTCTTAGGAAAATCCACGTATACTTTGTCATAATTAATCAGACTAACAACAACAAAAAAGCAAAATAAGCACCCTGATCACTCACAAAGGGACACCCAGAAATGTTAGATCAAATTATTCTCTACCACCACCTACTGGTTTACTGTTTGAATAGCATCATGAGAAAAAAGTTAAAACTCCAGATGCCAGAATACTTAACGCAACTACTGAAGATGCTTGCTGAAATATTTAGGGATTAGATGTCATAATGTCTGTATTTTGAAATGATCCAGAGAAAATAGGCCAGCTGCCACGGCACACACCCATAATGCCAACACTGGAGGACTGCCTGAGGACAGGTAACAAAGGGAGACCCTCTAAAAAAAAAATTAAGATAAAAGAAAAACAAAAGTAAAAAACAAACAAACAAAATAAATAAATAAATAAACTAATTAAAAAGATGGACAAAATGTAGAAAAATGTTGACAACTATTGGATCTAAGTGGTGGGTATCCATAGGTTTTTCATTTTAGCATTCTGCTTGTGTATACTTTTGTGAACTTCTGTTTAAAAAAAGGCAACTTCACCAGTAATCAAAATACATGCAACTAAAACAGCAATGAGCTACATAACAAACAAAAGCTAAGCAAAAGACATACGGATCGATTGTGACTCTTATACAAGACATTTTTGGGTCCCTTTGTTTGTTGTCCGCAGCATTAACTGTAAGAAAATAAAATACACATTTGCAAGAAATTAGTGTTTTAAAAAACATTCTATAACTCTAAGTAAGATATAGAGAAAAAGTTCCCAACAGTACAAGAATGGCATTAATAAGCTGTTAATTTAACAATTTTTGTTCATAGTACTGTTTCCAGGAGAAAGCTCAATTTCCTGGGCTCCAGGAAACCACCTCACCTTTGTTAACTAAGTGAAATGACAGGTGCCAGGCTTGGTAGAAATTTATNTTTTTTTAAGATGGAGTCTCACTTTGTAGCCCAGGCTGGAGTGCAGTGGCGCAATCTCGGCTCACTGCAACCTCCGCCTCCCAGGTCCAGTTCAAGCAATTCTCCTACCTCAGCCTCCCAAGTAGCAGGGATTACAGGCAGGAGCCACCATGCCTAGCTAATTTTTGTATTTTTTAGTAGAGACTGGGTTTCACCATGTTTGCCAGTCTTGTCTTGAACTCCTGACCTTGTGATCTGCCCACCTAGGCCTCCCAAAGTGCTGGGATTACAGGCATGAGCCACTACAGCCTGGCCTTTTTGATTTTTATTTGAAATGATATTTCTTAGGAAAGATTTGACCAACAGATCTTTATACTAAAGGATTTACTCACCTAGAATCTCATCAAAGATTTTGTACAAACCAGGAACAAAAGTGACTTCCCTATAGTTAATGCCAACATCTTCATCGTAAACCCACATTTGCTAGAAATAAGGCAAAGAAATACTGTTATTTTTACTCTGTATTCATTGTTCTGTCATGATTACCGTAAAGTCTTCTGTATTAAATATTACCATATTTAGGCCAGTTCCAGTGACACTCAATACACGAGAGGTACAGAAAGGTCAGCTGGAACAGTATCCATTTCAACTGCTAGGTGATTGCCTTTGATAAGCTTGATTTTACCTGGGTCACTAATTCCACAGAGCCAATGTAAGTGTCTGGGCGGAGCAAAATATGCTCCAACTGTGTTTTCTTTTGATAGATTCTTTCAATAGACAGTCTTTTCTTAGCATCTTCATTTTTCTTTATTTTGTTGACTTGCATATTTTCATTTACAGGCTAGCAATTAAAAAAAAAAGAGAGAGAGCGAGAGAGAGAAGGGGATTTTTAATCATAAGTCTACCCAAAACTAGGAACGAAATGTCAACACGTTGTAATCTGTTAGTAGGTAGCGATGGAGTTGACAGTTTCGTACAAAGAGGACAATTTAAATTAGCTGCAGCCAAGTCCCCAGGTGTCAGGTTAAACACACATATTATCTCACCAAGTGGGTCGGTCTGTCTGGAAACCTCTTTTCTTGAGCAATGTGGTAGATGTCACCAATAAAATACACCCACTTCTTTCAGCTCTTGCATGCATTATTTACCGAGTGCTTATTATAAATTATTTACGGTGTCCCAAGCACACGGCAGAGTCTAGCGCGGCAGGAGCAGTTTGGGCGGCTATCAGTTCAATCCCTCGGCCACAGGAAGGTTCTGAGCTCAGGATGGGGGCGCTTTTGGAGGCCGGCCAGCTGCTCCGGGGAACACTGTGCTAGGCTCTGCCCTTTCCAAGATCGGAGACATTCAAGGCGGTTTTCAAGCAGTGGGCAGGGGGGGCAGGCATCTGTACACGCGACTCAGTAACATCGCGCCCGGGGCGCTGCAGCAGGGATCCGCTACGGGACCACCGGAAGGCTGCCCCTAGAAACAGGGCAACAACGCAACACACCCTGGAAGCCGGTTTAGCCGACACACTTCACTGCTAGCACCGTAAAGGGCTTCCGCCTCTCCACGATCACCCCGGAACCGGGAGGTGAAGAATATGGGCTCCCAAGCTGGTCGCCGGCCGGACCGCAGCCCCGGAGCTTCAACCGTCATGGGCGGTCTGAGAGATGCCGGGGCCGAGCTGAGGCACACCACCGCCAGTCCCTCCCACGAGCCGTACCTGCAATGGTGACACTTCCATGGTGACGGTCGTGAAGGGGCTCGAGAACCCTGAAAGCGACTAAACCGGCAGGACCCTCGAGACGACACCAGACCAAGCCACCCCTCCACAGACGCCCGTCGGTTAGGAGAGCTCCACTTGAACCTTCCTTTAGCCCGCCCGAAGCAGACAAGCCAATCCCTGACTCGCTCTTGCTGTCTCTGTCTAGAAGAACCAATCGTAGCTGGTCTTTTATGTTCACCTATCAACGGCTGAGTTGGTCAGGTGTTTGTTCGAATAAACCAATCAAGTAAGGGAGGCGGGACTAGAGAGATTTCAAAATGCACCACTCGGCGTCGTAGCGGAGAGACTGACAGGGAATCTGACTAATAATGACGGCTCGTTTGTTTTCTCTGGCGGAAATCTCGGCGAGCCCGGCCTTGGAAGCGGGAAGGGTTACCTGATGCAAAAGTGTCCAGGTGAAAAGCAAAGGATGTTTATTCTCCAGGAGCTGCCAGTCTATTTAAGATTTCTGAAATCTAAAAACTGTTCTCTGTTCTGAGATTGCTAGGGAGGGGAATGGGAGCCTTAGCTTCGTTTTCCTGAGGAAACTCAGTGCTGGCTTTCTAAACAGGCCGCCTGGCTACTTGGTTGAAGCGAACAGGTTCTGGCGTCTGCCTGAACCCCGCCCCCTCTGCCCTCAAAGAAATGAAAGTAAGCCCGGGCGCTGTGGCTCGTGCCTGTAATGCCAGCACTTTGGGAGGCCGAGGTGGGTGGATCATGAGGTCGGGAGTTCAAGACCAGCCTGGCCAAGTTGGTGAACCCCCGTCTCTACTAAAAATATAAAAATTAGCCGAGCGTGGTGGCAGGCGCCTGTAATCCCAGCTACTCCTGCTGCGGTAGGAGAATCGCTTGAACCCAGGAGGCGGAGGTTGCAGTGAGCTGAGATGGCGCCACTGCACTCCAGCCTGGGCGACAGAGTGAGACTCCGTCTTAAAAAAAGAAAGAAATGAAAGTAAGCTGTGTCCGGTGGCTGGCGTCTGTATTCGAGCACATTGGGAGGCCGAGGTGGGAGGATCACTGGAGCCTAGGAGTTGGAGACCAGCCTGGGCAACATAGCCAGACCCCGTCTCTACCCCCCCACCAAAAATAGCCAATAACCCCAGCTCTGGAGGCTGAGGAGGGAGGATCGCTTGAGCCCCAGAGATAGAGCTGCAGTGAACCGTAATTGCTCCTCTGCACTCCAGCCTGAGTGACAGACTGAGACCGTCTTGAGAGATAAATATATAAATAAAAATATAATAAAAATAATTTAAGAAGTAAAAGTGCTATAGTTGTGGTTTGGGGGTTCCATATAATGGAAGGATGTGGGAAGTCTTTGCAGAATGGAGGGCAGCATTCAGGTTCCCAGTAGAGCAGCACTGGACTGCAACTGGCAAATTTAAAGGAATAACTTGTGGTTATGGCCTATTGAGCTGAGGGTGGGCTTGGGCCGCCTGGGGCTGAAACCTTTTCGGCAGCCAGTTAGCCAGATGCCCTGTGACTGGCTACTTTTGCACACCTCCCTGAACACTGCGGTCTAGAACAGCTGTTCCGATTTGACAGGGAAATACCTAAGACTGAAGGTTGGTTGGTTTGTTTTGAGATGGAGTCTCACTCTGTCACCCAGGCTGGAGTGCAGTGGCGTGATATCGGCTATCGGCTCGCTGCAACCTTCACCTCCCGGGTTCAAGCGATTCCCCTGCCTCAGCCTCCAGAGTAGCTGGGATTACAGGAGCGTGCCGCCACCTCAGGCTAATTTTTTTGTATTGTTAGTAGAGCGGGGGTTTCACCATGTTGGCCAGGCTGGTCTTGAACTTCTGACGGGCGCTGTGGCTCACGTCGGTAATCCCAGCACTTTGGGTTGCTGAGGCAGGCAGATCACCTGAGATCAGGAGTTTGAGACCAGCCTGGCTAACATGGTGAAAACTTGGCCGGGTGCAGTGGCTCACGCCTATAATCCCAGCACTTTGGGAGGCTGAGGCGGGTGGATCACGAAGTAAGGAGATCGAGACCATCCTGGTCAACATGGTGAAACCCTGTCTCTACTAAAAATACAAAAATTAGCTGGGCATGAGTAGTCCCAGCTACTCGAGAGGCTGAGGCAGAATTCCTTGAACCCAGGAGGCGGAGGTTGCGGTGAGCCGAGATCGAGCCATTGCACTCCAGTCTGGGTAACAAGAGCGAAACTCTGTTTAAAAAAAAAAAAAATACAAAAAATACAAAAAAATTTGCTGGGTGTGGTGGTGCGAGCCTGTAATCTCAGCTACTTGGGAGGCTGAAACAGGAGAATCGCTTGAACCTGGGAGGCAGAGGTTGCAGTGAGCCGAGATTGTACTATTGCACTCCAGCTTGGGCAACAAGAGCAAAACTCCATCTAAAATAAATAAATAAATAAATAAATAAAAATAAAAATTTTTTAGTGCATTCATTGCCTGGCAAGTAATAAGTGCACGAGACATGTCAGCAATGACTACCTCTGCTCCTTTCCAGGATCTTCCTTCTCTGCTAGTTCCACAAATTCCTTCTCCAAAACCAGTTCAAAATTCTCGTCTCTAGGGAGTCTTCTTTGACAGTCTTTTAAATTGAACCTCCTCAAGTCGTTCAGCGTATATTTGCCTATATGGATGAGTTCCTTTGATAAGTATTCTTTGGTTGTTTTCTCCTGGGTATTGTGTGCTTCCCTTCTTTCTGCTCTTTGGAGAGGGGAGGGAAGGTCCTGGAGTTACAGTGTCCCCTTCATGGATCTGGAAGCTCCGCTAGAAAAAGCAGCATTTCTTCTCTTTTGCAGGCTCTCCCAGCAGAAGGAGGCTGGACTAAAAGTGTGGCTTTGGATTTGGGGTTTGGAGTTGGCTAGGCTGGAGCCCACTGGGAATTCCTGGATGAGGCTGGGCCAACACCAGAGTACTCAGGTGGTTAGGGCTGGGCCAAGAAGCTCTGTTTACCTTGAGGCTGACAACTGGCAGGGTCTGGTCAGTTTATTTATTTTTATTTATTTATTTATTTACCAGGGATACCAGCCTCCAGTTGGAGGAGGTCAGAAAAACCCAAAATGTCCCACAGAGCCCAGCCTGTAGGTGGCCCCTGGCAAATAAATGTGGACAAAGTTGGGAGGAGAGCAAGGGAGGTTACAGAGGGGAGCAGCTCAGGACCACAGATTAGTAATCCCTAAATCTGCACAGAATTTCCCTATCCATCAAAAATTTAAACATGTTCACACTCTGGCCGGGCACAGTGGCTCATGCCTGTAATCCCAGCACTTTGGAAGGCCAAGATGGGTGGATACCTGTCCAATATGGTGAAACCCTGTCTCTACTAAAAAATACAAAAATTAGCTGGGCGTGGTGGTGCATGCCTGTAATTCTAGCTACTCGGGAGGCTGAGGCAGGAGAATTGCTTGAACCTGGGAGGCAGGGGTTGCAGTGAGCTGAGATCGTGCCACTGCATTCCAGCCTGAGCCACACAGTGAGACTCTGTCTCAAAAAAAAAGTGAAGGAAATACTGTGTCGAGCATAAGTCTATTTGGGTAAATAAAATTATATATATACACGCATTCAGAATATCTGGAAGGAATTGCAAGGAGGTGGAGGGAAGGGAAGACTTCCTTTTTTTCTTTCTTTTTTTTTTTTTGAGACACCTCTGTTTAGCCTCAGCTCTGTTGCCCAGGCTGGAGTGTAGTGGCATGATCATGGCTCATTGCAGCCTCAAACTCCTGGGCTCAAACGATCTTCCTGCCTCAGCCTCCTGAGAAGCTGGGACTACAGGCCTGTGCCACCAAACTTGGCTAATTTAAAAAAAATTTTTTTTGTAGAGACGACGTCTTGCTATGTTTCCCAGGCCAGTCTCAAACCTTTGGGCTCAAGCGGTTCTCCTAGTTCAGTCTCTCAAAGTGTTGGGATTACAGGCTTGAGCCACCACGCCCGGCCCTGGGCTGGCTTTTAGATCACTAAGTTCCACCTCCCCATAGTACAGATGGGAAAACTAAGGCCTAGAGCTGTAGATGACGGCAATGGGGCAGCAAGCTGACCTGGGGGATGGGGTGAGAAAGCCAGTGATGCCTCTAGTATGGTGGGGAATGGGGTCACCTGAACCTGTCACTGTCTCCCTTGCTCTGACATTCCACATAATGTCCTTGGGAGGCATTAGGGTGGGGCCCAAGAAGAGAGGAGTAGGATGGGGTGGAGTGCTATGTGCCTCTACCCAGTGATCACCTGTTTCCCTGACCATTTCACTTTTTCAGGCTCTCCGCCTTCTCTCCCTCCTCTATCCTATGCCTGTTTACTTGTTTGCCTGGGTAGGAGCTGGGTACTGAGGGGTACATGTCAGTGTGGCCTGAAAGAGCCTAATGAAACTCCCTTTCATTAGTGGGAGTCAGGGTGGGAGTGGGGGAAGGGGACCAGCATTCCAGGTAGCTGACCCCCGCCTTGGACTTTGGACTCAGAACCCAGGGGTCTGACTTGAGGAACTGCAGAAACCCATCCTCCAGTCCATTGCCCTCAGAGGGCTCTTGGCTGCTGCTAGGAGCAAGCCTGATGGGTAGATGTGGGCCCTGAGACTTGGTCAAGCTCAACAGCTACTACCTCATTCCTTCCTTTGAAGAATGAACGAATGAATGAATGCATGGAGAGGAGGAGTTTAGACTGGGATCTTTGATTTCATATCTGTTTCTAAATATCTCTCATCGGCCGGGCGAGGTGGCTCATGCCTGTAATCCCAGCAGTTTGAGAGGCCAAGGTGGGTGGACCACCAGGTTAGGAGTTCAAGACCAGCCTGGCCAAGATGGTAAAACCCTGTCTGTACTAAAAATACAAAAATTAGCTGGGTGTGATGGCGCATGCCTGTAATCCCAGTTACTCGGGAGGCTGAGGCAGGGGAATCGCTTGAACCCAGCGGGTAGGGGTTACAGTGAGCTGAGATTGTGCCACTGCACTCCAGCCTGGGCGACAGAGAGACACTGTGAGCCACCGCGCCCGGCCTTATTTATTTATTTATTGAGATGGAGTTTCACTCTTGTTGCCCAGGCTGGGCAAAAAAAAAATCTCTCCCATCTCTCTAAGTTTTTCATTTCATCACATCTATTCACCCTTCTCTGCCTTTCCGTCTCTGTCCTATTCTTTGTTTCAGCTCCTCCCTCTCTTGGTCTTTGCCTTGCTAGT